TATTTATCTTCTTCATCGTCCTCTTCATGACGGTAACCATGGTATTTATCTTCCTCTTCGCCATCGTCGTCATTGTTGTAACCTGTGTGATGCACAAAATCCCATCAAATTTCTTGCCGTGGGACATTTTTTGTGACCGTTAGTAGCATCAGGGAGATTGTGAATATTATACTGCAGTTTGTTCTCTGGCAATAGCGGCACAACACACAGCGGAGAAAATGCGTAAACTCCCCAGTGCGTATTCTCTAATTCTCTGCTCTTATATTTAAATCGTTAACTTTACTTTCCTAATTTTCCACCTATCGCCCGTTAATTAATACAAAACACAGAAAAGAGGGGAATTCTGATATTATTTTAAAGGAGTTAGGTTTAAATTCATACTTAAAGCGAGAGGTTCCTCAGCAATGTACGCAATTCCTTTTCATGCAATCAGAATGTAAAGGAACTCGGTCTTTTTTATCTATCCCGTTTCCACATGGCGTGACAAAGGGCTTACTGCCAGAAACATCCTAGCCACTAGTTATTAATGTAATCAGTCACTTTCGATGTTTCTGAGAACGGGCCATGAACTTACGTTGGTTCCTGCGGAGCATGTGTAGCAGACTTGCGGCAATAGCTGGATTGATGCATTGTTTTCTCAGGTCGTAGGCCGTCAAACAGGTCGACGGTGGACTAACGACCACCTAAACAGCCACGGGGAAAACGCATTAGCCTGCATTCGTCATCTAGCGGCCGTAACGACGACCGGTTACCTGTTATACTAGAGCAGTCGACGCGTTTGCGTACGCGAACTGTCAACGCTAGTTTCTGTGCGGGAACATATGTCGCAGGCGTACGACACCGTGCCGAACCTGAACCTGCATGCGGTTAATGTATGCCGATACGCCGTTTACGCCGCGTTGTTGTTTAATCAACCCATTATCTTAGATTTTATTCATGAAATTACATAATATCACCAGGATATCTATGATAAATCTGATATCACACCATATTACATTATATTATTCCGCGTGGATAAAATTGTCTCGATTAATTTTAACAATTAATAACAGTGGTTAATAGTATCGAGTGCACACAAACTAACAGAAACTAAAATAAGCTATCATAACCTGACATAACATAATATTTAAAATCACACATAACATGGCGTGACATAACATAACATAACACAACATAACACAACACAACACAACACAACACAACACAACACAACACAACACAACACAACACAACACAACACAACACAACACAACTCAACACAACACAACACAACACAACACAACACAACACAACACAGCGCAACACAACACAAGGCAACGCAACATTCGCTTTTAAACAGCCCGGCCCACATTGCTGGTGGGCGGACGTGTAGACGTGCGGACATGCAGGTGACCTCGACCACGTCTGCGCATGCGCGCATGATACGGGGGCTCGCGTGGTAATGACCTCTGGCGCGCAGTCCTGTGCTGCTCATCATCATTCTCCTCCTCCTCCTCCTCTTCCCCTTCCTCCTCCTCCTCCTCCTCCTCCTCCTCCT